AAGGCAAAGGGTGGGCCCCTTTCATTAAGAACCGTATGGACCAAATTGAGAAAGATAACGCCCAACCCTTAGAGAGTGATTTCATGGCCCTTTGCCGCGATATCCTCTTGCGGCTTCCGACAACTGATGAATCCAATGCTGACACGTCTAGGAACCCTACCAACAACGCGCAGGACTCCAAATCCGACAAGAAGGATAAGAAGGGCAAGGATAAGGATAAGGAGAAGGAGAAGGACCCCAAATCTGACAAGAAGGGCAGTGAGACACGGACCTGCTTCCATTGCCAGAAGACCGGTCATATCCAGAACGATTGCTGGAAGAAATACCCAGAGAAGCGTCCGTCCAATCCCAACAACGCCAATAAGGATAAGGACAAGGGTGATACCAATGCTGGCACTGCTCCTGTCCATAACGTCGTGGAACAAGTATTCTGTATGACGGACAAGGCCTACATGAGCAGCGAAAGACCCACGAGAGATACCTGGATTCTAGACTCGGGTGCGGGTGCCCACGCAACACCTCATAAAGATCTTGTCGTGGCAAAGCCCCAAAAATATACTGTCAAGTTGGAAATGGCAGATGGAACGATAGTGCCTGCCGCAGCGATAGGCGACACGAAGATCACCGTTGAAGGGGCGGACATGCTACTAACTGGCGTCCGCTACGTCCCGAAATTAGAAGTGAACCTCATGAGCATGGGTAAGCTCGTACGCCAGGGCTTTACCTTCAAGCAGTTGGCATATGGAAGCAACCACGCCGTGCTCTTTATGTCCCCAGATAGAACGTTCTCCTTCACGGCGAAGTTGAACGACAATGATATCTACGAGGTGGAGAAGCCGCCTACCTTCAAGGATCTAATTCGATTCGCCCTGTCCAACGGCAAATTTGAACCTGTCAACGCGATGGCGGACGACAGGACTACTGACGCGATACTGGCGCTGCCCAACAACGACATAAAGGTTATAGAACTAACAATGACACAGTGGCACCAAAAATTAGGGCATCTAAATCCCGCGGATATCGCTAGAATGGCAGCAGATCCACGCCTAGGAATGAGAATCATCGGCCAACGAGCTTTACCGTTTTGCAAAGTCTGTGTCCAAGCAAAGATGACACGTCCAACCTTTGCGCCCATGACGCGAGCTACCAAGCCGGCGATGAGACTCTTCATCGACCTAGCAGGGGGTGGAAAAACGCTTTTTGACGGGAACGACCTACCCACTAGGGGGGGTGCTAGCTACTGGCTAGGGATAACAGATGACGCTACGAGATACCGATGGGCAATCTTGATGATGTCGAAGGGTGAGTCTACCGCGAGATTAATGAACTTCATCACAGGCATTGAGGCAACTACGCAACGCCGTGTAGGCACCCTACACTGGGATGGTGGCAGCGAGTTTAAAGGCCAAGATCTGAAGGCCTACTGCCAGAGCAGAGGAATTGCGTATGAAACGACTACGCCTGATACGCCGCAATCGACCAGGCCTGCTGAACGCGCCAACAGGATTGTTGCAGAACCCTGACAACGAGCCTTCTATTTGATAGCGGACTAGCTAAGGAATTGTGGG